AGAGACACATGAAAAAGTGCTCAGCCTCACTCATCATCAGAGAAATGCAAATCAAAACCACACTGAGATACCACCTAACCTCTGTAAGAATGGCCATCATTAATAAAACAAACAACAGATGCTGGTGAGGATGTGGAGAAAAAGGAACGCATCTACACTGCTGGTGGGAATGCAAACCAGTACAACCCCTTTGGAAGACAGTCTGGTGGTTTCTGAAAGAACTAGACGTTGGCTTTCCATATGACCCATCAATTCCCCTGTTGGGAATATACCCGGAGGAACGCAAATCATTCTACCAAAAAGATACCTGCACATGTATGTTTGTTGCAACTCTATTCACAATAGCAAAAACATGGAACCAACCATGTTGTCCATCAAAGCTGGACTTGATAAAAAAAAAATGTGGTACATATACACAATGAAATACTATGCAGCCATAAAGAAGGATAAACAAATGGACTTCACAGCAACTTGAATAGATTTAGAGTCGAACGTACTCAGTGATCTATCACAGAAACAAAGAACAGAGCACTATATGTTCTCACTCATAAGCGGACTTTGAACAATTATAATACTATAAGAAAGCGATTGGCAATATTGGGAAACTTTCAGGGAAAGGGGGGTGGGATTGGCAGTTGAGGGAAACTGCTAGGGGAGGGAGGGGCATACCTCATCAACAAGCGTATCTGCATAATCAACATTTGTATACCTAGCCCTGAATTGTACCCCACATCTTTATAATAAAAAAAAGAAAAAGAAGATGTAAAAAAAAAAAAAAAGACACTGCATTCTAATAGGAGAAACATATACAAACACCTAGCTAGTTCTTTATGGAAGGTAAATTTACCAAATTCTGGGCTAGTACAGAAAAAGAAGGAGCTCTGTCAGAGGCAGGGTGACACAGCTGGACTGTGAGGCTTCCAGGGAGTGGGGGAATTCCTGAGCAGCCTTGAGTGAAGTTTGCTAGTTGGATGAGGGTGGGCCAAGAGAGAATGGGAGTATATTTTGGAGGCAGCAGAATTAAGAGAAGGTCTACCTGCTGCTATTTGGATCACACTGCCCCCTCCCTCCCTGTCCCAAGAGTTCTAGTTAGGTCTATTCTCTCAAGGGAAGGGACTTCTCTTCTAACTCCTCTAGCTCCAGAACTCTTGGCCTGACCAAGAGTTTCCCAGAACTGACCTACAATCTGAGACTTTTCCTACCCAATCTGTCCTTCTTGCTCTTCTTTGATATCAGACACATTACTGCCAAACACAGTCCCCACCACATAGTAGACACTCAAAAGATACCTGGTACAAGTCTGAGTGATATGCATATATGCATTGGGCACCATGGCCTGAAACTTTTCCTGCCTAGTCATGCACTCAATAGGACTCTTTCCTCTGTCCTTTCCAGGTATTCTTCCTAATAAATTCCCTTATTTGGCTAATTCTATTGGTGTCTATTTCTTAGAAAACCCACACTTACACAGGGAGGGAATTGCACACCTCCTTTCCTTTTTTAAAGGGCAAAAGCAATTTTTAATTTCTGGGGGTACAGGTGTAAATAATTAATTTATTTGTTAGTCCAACTGCAGGATTTTTTAAAAAGCAGTAAAATATATTAATTTTTGTGTCTTCTTCACTATGCTTGCATGCCTACTTTTTTTGGTAACAGCTGAGTTATATTTTATTTATTTGTTTACTTTTAAAATTTTATGTTAAAGATGTACAGTACAATTTAGGATCAGGTATGCAAGTGGTCATTGTACAGGTAAAGTTTGGGCTTCCCTTTGTTTGCCTGGCTTGAGATCAGGTACCCTTATTAATGTTTTGTTCCCTTCGCCATCCCCACCCCAGTAGTATCCTGTTACTGCCAATCCCTTTCTAAAAGTATTATGGTAATTGTTCAGGGTCCACTGAACAATTACCATAATACTTTTAGAAAGGGATTGGCAGTGGGAACATATGGTACTCTGCTCTTTGTTTCTGAGATAGATCACTGAGTATGAGGGACTCTAAATCCACCCAAGTTGCTGTGAAGTTCATATGTTTGTCCTTCTTTATGACTGCATAATATTCCATTGTGTATATGCACCACATTTTTAAATTCAGTCCAGTTTCAATGGACAGCATGGTTGGTTCCATATTTTTTCTATTGTGTACAATGCTGCAATAAACATGCATGTACAGGTATCTTTTTGAAAGAATGATTTGCGTTCCTCCAGGTATACTCCCAATAGAGGGATTGCAAGCCTATTTTTATGTGACATTTAAGGCAGAGTGTTTCCTTCAACATAAAGGTAGTGAATAGAACAGGCTCATAACAAAATCTGGAGGAAAAAAGACAGATGCAAATTTTCTTTGTGCTTCAAAAAGTGTATGAAAAATGATGCTCAATAGTATTTATAGGCTTTTTCTTCTTCAATTACAAGTATTTTCTCAGTTAAAATATGTTTAATTATAGAAGGCACATAGAGCTTCAAAGTAAGAAGTTTCTAGAAAAGTTTTCCAGGGGAAGGTCAGGTGTGAGGAAAAAGGACTCTTAAATCAAAATTTGCCTGCAGGGGGCTAATAGGATAGAGCTATTGAAATCAACACCTATGGGGGAACAAGGGAAAAAGTATAGGGTAGAGGAAAAAGTTAAACTGGAATGCATTTGCAACAGAAACTTTCACAGATCCCATTAGGAGTTCTGGAGCTGGAGTGGCCCAAATGAAGAACAAAGGGCTGAGTTGTAGTACTCTTGCATGGGCAAGTTGAGTCTGTAGCAAAAGACAATTCTTGCTGGGACTCATGTGAGTCACCAATAGGACAAGGGAATGAATGGTCTCAGTCTGGAAGGGACGATCTGGGAGCATGCCAATCATTAAAGCATCACTCATTTGTGCCTCAGGTGTTTTTTGAGGGTCCACTATGCACTGAGATTTGAGTTTGGCATTTGGGGTACCAGAGTGAGCCATGCAACTCTACTCCTCCACTCCCACATCCTTGCTACCAGAGATTATGACCAGCCAGGGAAACAGACCACCAAGGAGTGTCTGTGACATGAGGGAGGACATAAGACTATTACAGGAGCTCATGGCAGGAGCAGCCAACCCAGTCTAGTTTGTCAAGAAAGTTTTCTTAGAAGAAATTGCATTGAAGCGAACACTAAATGGTGACTAGAAGTTATCCAGGCAAGGGGGTGAAGGAGAGTGGATCTCCAGAAGGAAAAATGGTTTATTTCAAAGTCCTGGAGGTGACAGAGAGCCTGGTGTGCTTGAGAAGCTGAAACACTCTCAGCCTGACTGAGCTCAGTAGTGTGTGAGCATGAATGTGTGTATACACACACGTGTGCATATGTTTTGGCAGCAAGAGGTAAGTTGCAGAGGAAGCCAGAAGGCCAATCTTGAACGGCTCTACAGGCATAAAACGAAGGGTTTGGATTTGTTTCCTGCTTTCTCTTGCTAGTATCTCTTTCTCCCTCTTTCTATTCTTTTTTTTTTAAAGTTGAAAAATATAGTTTATTTAGAAAGTAAATTGGAGAGAGAGAGGATATTCACCTCCTCAAGGTAGGGAAGTGGGTCAAAGCTTAGGAAACAAGGTGGCCATAGCTCAAAAAGCCATGTGGCCAGACCAGAGGTTAGCAAAACAAATGGCACCTTCTTTCTATTCTTCTATCCCTTCTTTTCTCCTTCTGTTTTCATTCGGTTTGAAAAGAATGATGAGCTCCATCAAGTTCTGGGTGGCAGGCCCAGTGTTTACCACGGTTTCCAGCACATAGTAAGTATTGAAGAAATGTTTGCTAAGATGAATTGACCCTCAGTTAGTAATCTAAACACAAGTGGGGCCACAGGTATACCAGTTACTTTGAGGAGCTGCAACAGAAGGGCAGCTGTCCTCAAGAAGGAATTCATTGACCAGAGTCCTCAAGAAGGAATTGCAACCTTGACCTATAGCCTTCAAATAACACTGAAGGGGATCCAGTTTATAACCCACAGCAAATGTGATCAAAGGTTGCCTATCCTGATTTCCATTAGTCTTAACCCAACCCTTTAGCTGCCTTCAACTCATTTTAAATTACCTTAACCTCTGTTGACCCCAAGATGCTGAATTTGGAGGTGTTACTTTGGTCGCCTTCTACCAGTACTCCTGTTTTTGCATAGAATACTTGGTGTCCAGGTGGGTAATTTTGAGAAAGGACAGGGGAGTCATGTGGTCTATGCTGGGGAAAGCCAGGAGAGCTCAACAGAGACACAAAAATAAATCTCAACCTCTTTACACATTAAATTGCCAGCCCCTGTCTCCCCGGTTCCCAGAGCTCCCCCAGTCATCACTCTGCAATTGCACGCACCCCCAGATGCTCATGAACTCTCCTCGCTTGTGCAAGAGAAGCTGGTTCTCTTCCCTACAGATGTCATCTTTCATTTCTTTTGAGACTTCTATTCAGTGCTAAGGCTAATTTACTATCTTTTATACGAATCAGGCAGAGGCCCCTAACATCTTTCATTTATGAATATCCAACCAGATGAAAAACCAATGATACTACTTCAAAGAGGACTTTTAAAAAAAAATCAATCAGTCAGGAATCATCTTCAAAAAGACCATTCTTTCCCAAGGGATTCATTGATAGTGCAAATTTCATTTGTGGTTTCAGCATGAATCTGAAGGAAAAAAAGTCTTTTAAAAATAGCCTTTCAAGGTGTAGGCAACATTGACGGGGCAAGGGAAACTTGAAGCCCAATCTCTCTCATATATCTCTCAATTCTTTTGTGTGTGTGTGTGTGTGTGTGTGTATAGCTCACCACGTCTTTCCTTCTTTTATGAACTCAATGCATTATTTACAACATATTTGTGGGCTATGGTCTTTTGTTTCCAGAAACAATTATAATTGATTTGCAATAATAACTCTTAAGTGTATTATCTGCTTTGATTTTTATGAAGGTTGTTCAATATTATATAGTGCCTTTTGGGTCTTTTCCCAGCAGGTGTCCTTATAGGAATCATGAAGTTCACATAACCCAGAAGAAAGGGGCTTACCTGTGTTAAGAAATGTACTCCATCCACTGGCAGATGAAATCCAATTCCCAAAGTTTTGATGATCACTAGGATATTGAGTAAATGTTCCCTAAATGAAACAACCAGAATTCTAAAGTCACTAACTTCAATCAATCACATTTCTAGATATTTGTTTTTTATATAAACAAATATGGTAGAATTCTTTAAACTATGATAATTGGCATATAAGACTAAATTCCCACTTTGTAGATTTGATGTATACTAGAATGTTTTTGAGGATAAAATATTTTATGCCAGTGAACACGTTTTGATTGATAGTAAATGTAAATATTAATACCAAAGAGCTGTGTTGTGATTGGATCCAAAAATATTTTGAAATATGTTAAACTAACATTAAGGATTTAACTCTAAACTATAAGTTGTTCTTTAAATAAAATCTGGATCAAACTCAGTCACAGCAATAGTGACTTCTTTGACTTAAATACTAATGGTAGTTATTGTTGCTGAAATTTACCTCTTCAAAACCTTGTGAATAATTTGCAGGTGATTGGAATTAAGCCACTGAACACCACCAACAACCAATATAGTCTGCCCGGTATTCTCTAGAGGACGTGATCTGAAATCCAGAAAGAAAAACAACACATGTTGCCTTAACACAGATGGTAAACATTGTAACTGCATTGCCTCACCCTTCACAGAACCATATCTGGCATCCTAATCACAGGACCTCCTTGTTAGCTCCAACTTGTTTTCAGCCACATTACTTGGTGTTTACTTTTTAATGTATTTGATATACAATGAGCAGTTATGAGATGCTAAAACATCAGTACATTGTGGCATTGTGTTGTTCATAATAGCTCCACTGTACCTTTGCAGGAGATGTTCAAGGGCTTTTTCAAATGTTGGTCTTAATGAAGCACTTATCCAGAACTGGGGATAGTAGGAATAACTGATCAAAGTTTTCCCACCATTGACGTTGTGATAAAATTTAGTGCCATGAACCTTCTGCCATTCCTGCAACGTTTCATTCAGTCTTTCAATCAAATAGTACATGATCCCTCTGTTGGTTGAATCTCCAATGAAAATAATCTATAAAGTAAAGAAAAAATATTTGTTTCCAAATCTGATATTTCCATGATACAAAAGATAGTTTAAAATAACTAATGTCTTGAATATTCATAAAACTGTGTCTAATTGTTTGAGAGACAGTCCTTCAAACTTTTTGAAATAACATTTATCATTTCATCACATTCTCCCCCAAATCCATGCATTTTCCTCACGTCCACATTCCTCGTAATGCCATCCTCTATTTCTCTATCTCCCTCATGCTCTTTACTTTCTCATTTAATCAGCTTAACAAGTTTTATTGATTCATATAGGCAGGAAGTATTTCAGTACTCTAGGAATACTTACAGATTTTCCAGTCTCGTCATTTGATAGATATGACAATTGAGAACCATCACAGGGAGCTCAAGAGAGGTCACGTCTACTTGACAAAAGAGCCACAGGACCAGAATCTAATTTTCTGAACAACAGTCCATGTCCCAGCATGCATATGTCAGTGCCATTTGCCCTCCTGCAAAGTCTCTTACCCCCCACCCCACCTTCCTGTCCGAACCAGCACAGCCCTGTTCAGCACAGCCTGAAATCTGCACTATTACTATACCCCCTATCGAGTCTTCCTTCTTGCACAATGGCCACACTCTATTTTATTCTACAACAGAATTGCTGGGATAAATTTCCAAATGTCTAATTCCAGTCATCTCATTTGCATGTTCAAAAACTTTGTTGGTCCTTGGTTCCTACAGAATCAATTCTATGTGACTTAGGTTCAGCTAACATTTACTGAAAGTTTGCTAGATGAAGGTTTTTGCTAGGTGAGGTTTGAATCATTATCTCCTTTTTACAGATGAGGAATTTGAGCCTCAGGAAGACTGAGGTCCTAAATCTAGTAAACGACAAACAAAGGATTCAAACTCAGGTCCTTTGACTCCAAGTGCATGGGTGGCTCCATCCTCTCACTGCTTCCCTTTTTGTAAGCAGGTTAGACTTCTACTTTTTTATGAACACTGTTTTCTTTTTTTTTTTTTGATTTGGAGTCTCACTCTGTCCCCCAGACTGGAGTGCAGTGGC